AAGAATTCAAATGTTGGAAAAGCCAGCTATCAAGAATTTCTCAACGCCAAACATTCGGAATAAGCTAGTAAAATCACTAGCGTGCACATTATGACTGCCTAAATGATCTTTGTATCGCAATCGTTGCCTTCAGCACCACCACCACAACCAACATTGGTAACAAATGATTATGATGGTACAAAGAATCCAAAAGCTCGCTATTAGGAGGTCATCGATAATTTTTTTACATTTCTACATCATATATATCAGTCTTACATTAGCTAGAAATGTCTCACTTTAAACAAACTTGAAGAAACTATCATATCCCAGCACTAAAAATATCATTTAATAGGCTAAGCTAGTAATAACGAGGTCAAACAACCTACCGTCCTACAAACTCGTGAAAATATTAATCACAATCACTTCCTCTATAAGATAACACATTCACTCGGTTAGTAAATCCACAACTTGCTGTAATTGAATCACAAAATGTACATTGATAATCAGCTACATGCAGCCATGAAAAATGTTAAGTAAAGCCATCAGAAACTATAAACTCCACAACCGCATTATTCTGCCTTATCAAAACCCTTAAATAACAATATTGCAAAAGGTTTAATAATGAAATTACACGCTGTCTTCTCCTATCCAACTAAAGCGGAAAACTTGAATAAGAAGACACAATATCATGCAAAATAGAGTAAACTTCAAAATGTGTAAATTCAGGGGATTAAACAAGTATCCATCAAACAAAAGTATCGAAATTTATACTCGGCATAGAACTCTCAACACTAAAAATGCCACTCAGCACGCCAGTGCAATAAAAATGAACCAATCTGAGTAAATGGAAGGACATATCCCTCAGAAACTCAGCATAGTTGCATTAACAGCTGCATTATTTTGCTCAAATCAATTCTGCAGTGAGGCTTTACCAAGTATCCTCCTTTCGTAGCCCCATGAGAAAAGTTTTTGTATCTCCTAAGGTCTAGGTCTTTGTATATTATTATTTTTTACGTTTTACAAAATTACTTGTTTCCAGAAAGAAAGATACACAAGATAGTGTTGATAATAATAAAACCATTTATATGAACCAAAAAAATGCATAATCATACACCACAACCAACAAAGATACAGGATCTCCTTCTGCAAGAAGAAGAAACGGTCAAGACTTCAAACAACAGGCAATAAACATCAGTGCTGAACGCTAGAACGAACTCACGAGTTCATGAATTTTGAAAACAGGGCAAACCAGATAAAACTAATCAAGAACAAAAATCTCCTAAAAAATATAACACAGCAATCCATACACAAGCAACAGTGACAAGTTTGAAGCAAAGCTACTTGTTCGGTTTACACGCTACTAAGCACAGGTACAAAAGGGAATTGTGAAAAATCACAAGAGATATGTGGGGTAAGAGAGGATGAGTTTCACATGGTCAATAAGGCAGAGTTTCATGTTGCAGTAGAACTCCCAAAGAGTCTGACTTGAGACAGAATAAGACGTTACAAAATCACGTCTATTATCAAACATGACGGGTCTTCCTCCATTTGCTTGGATAAAAATGAAGATATCATCAACAAGGCAACAAAACAATCCATGTGCCTCATACTACAATAGACTAAACCAACTCAGAGAGACATACAAGCAACCTGAAAAACCTGAGACTCATCCATTCATTCAATGGATAACATAAAAAGTGAGCTATCAGTTACCAACTATCCAACAACACATACACCTCACAAAATCCTTTGCAAGCCACTAGGAGATGAAACTCCGTACCCATCACCATTTTATATTCCACATCAATAACAATTCAAAGTTTGAAACCATTTAAACGAATCACATTCACCAAAATTTGAAAAAACACACACACATTCAAATCTTCCAAACTTACAATATATATTAACATAAAAATTTTATAAAAAAAACCAGTATTTTCTAATTCTGTACATTTGTCTTACTATAAATCCTAAAATAAAAAACCTAAACTGCTGGCAGCAGACACTCCCATTACAAAAAAAGGGGGTTATATCCTCATTGCCGCAGCACCAGCCACTATCACAAGGCACGGTCTTTTGTGCTCCACTGCCATACAAAACTTGATATTATAGCAGGTTTACATGCCTTGTCCTCTTCTTGTTTGAAATGATGGACAAAAAGTTAGGATCGCAACGAAAACCAACAAGCACCAAACTTGTTGCAAAAACAAACGGAAACGAGCTCACGGTTTCTTCGAGCCTCTCAAAACCTGAAATGACATGTGTATGAACCAAAAGTGATTCATACAAAATAGAGGTTATGCTTACCTTGTTGCTGGCCTGTTCTCTTATCCTTTATCAAAGCTACTTCAATCACATTTCCATGTTCTTCAAACAATGGGCGAATCTGGTATCAAACAAGCATAGTTTTATCTAAGAAACCTATTTACATGAAAAAAAATCAAAATAAAACCAAATGAAAGTCACTCGTAAGCACATACCCTACCACTAACTGAGCCCAAAAAAAAATTATAAAGGCTCCAGGAGTAAGTGTTCATAAACAAAGAAGGATGACAACAACAATACTTGGTCACATGAACACAAAACGTAGCATTGAAAATGAACTAAACATTTCTTTTTCCAAGATCCCTCACAACTAATCCTTTTATTTCTCTCAAACCATATGTCCTCAAAAGGGTAGAACAAAACCTAGCTTGCCAAGAAAGAAATTTGTCCTACTTGTTCTCACCACCTCTAAACGAGAGATCCAATAGGAATCTCACACAACAATAATGTCTCAAAGCCTACAACTTTTAAAGCCTCCCAACCCACCAAGTGCTCCCTTCAATAATGCATGTCAAATAATGCGAAAACATTTCATCTCTAGAAGAAATGCCACACCTAGACCTTCTCATATCAATAGAAGAATGCAAGACATGTCTGACAGAAATGTGTAAATACAGTGTACAAAAGTGGGGAAATGAATTCATGGCTCTTCAACGACTTAATGAATACTTAGGACTTACATCTTCTTCTGTAACTGTCCTTGGAACGGATCCAACAAACAGCTTGGCAAAACTGCTTCTGTCCGAATGATCTGAAGATGGAAGATGTTGATATTAGCAAGCTGCAAGATTAGTGAAGATGCTGCGTGAAATATATGAGAACTACACTAAAAATATCTCACATATTGATCACACTGAAAGTTAGAATTACCTTCTTAATGAGAGTTTTTGTTTCTTGATAGCTAACGGTTAGAAGGGAACTTTCTTTTTCTTTTCCCCCTTCAAATGGGAGCTAATTATGATAAAGGTAATCAATAGAACTTCACATTGACAATAAATTCGATTTTCCAAGAACATAATTCAGACATTGGATGAAGTTTTAACCATATCTCAAACATCCCAGAAAGGTTAGAGAAAGTGAGGGAAAAAATACACTCTTTAGAACTGGTATGATACAGGAAATATGCAATCTAACTCCAAGGTTCTTAGTATACATCATGAGCACCATCTTCCAAAGAATGCGTTCTTTGACCTTTATAACATAAATTCTATGTGATCCGTTTACAGATTTGATAGAACTAAACTAACCGAGGGAAATAGAAGCAACAAAGCGAAAACCAGCATGAAAGTAACTGAAAAAAGATCGCCTGGTGTTCTTATCAACAAAAGAAAAGAAACTGCAACTAAATTAATCCACAAAATCTAACCTGGAGAACTTCCACGGCCGGCGAAAGGATAGCCCCGTTTCTGTCCTGCAACAGGAGGCGGCTGGAAACTGGACCCAAAACCACCGCCAGTACCAGGAATTGGACGGAACCCCCCGCCAGTTCCCATAGGGCGAAAATTAGCAGCACCGGGAGTAGAGAAGCGCGGCGGGCTGTCGAAAGGCCGACGGTTACCTCCGGAAACGCCGCCACGGAAGTTATTGGGGCTCCAGCGACTGTCTTGATGGTTCATCGGGGAGTCCGAGAAGCGAGAAGGAGCTGCAGAGTGACGGTACGGGTGGGAATCTTGGTCGGAACCATAGCGGTCTTCTCTATGCCTATCCAGCTTTGCGGAACTGAGAAATCGAAGCCCAAATTTGCGCAGTCCTCTTCAGGAAAACGAATCAGTGAAGTGAAACGAAATTCCAGAATCTTAGAACTCGCGAAGACAAGACGGAGTCAGACTCGGGAGGAAGAAGAGGAATCCCGCGCTGTCGCGGAAGAACTGAAGAAAGAAAGTACAAATAATTGTAATAAATAAAATAATAAACAATATATATATATATATATACACTTTATATGGGCCCGACAGAACTGTGGGCCGTAAGGTAAGTGGGCCCATTAAACCCAATCGGCTTTACTTTGAGCCCATCAAGGATAAGTTACGAAAAATAATAATAAATAAATAAATAAACTTCCAAACTCTCTCTTACACATATTTCTATTTGTTATATAAATTATGGTATATTTAAACATTTCAAAATTATTTATTAAATAAAAATCCTGATAAGACTCGCTCTAGTTTTGAATCATCATTATACTCTTTCCACGTTACAGCTTACGGTCTGAGACATTTGTAAAAGGTCGAGGATAATATTGTAATTTTTAAAATAAGTAGTAGCGTTTTTTTCGTTTTTTTTCATTCTCTTCTCGATTTTCTTCCTTGTTCCACCCATTTATTGCTTGTTGCTTGTTACTGGCTCTTGCTCGACTTGTAATGAAGGGAGCAATCCCTTCGTTTACATCAAGGACGTTTTCGTAATTTTACTGCTAATACATTAACATTGATATCTTAAATTAAAAAAATATAAAATAAAATACTTTTAATACATTTAAATATACGATGAGTTGATAAATAGTTTTCAAATATTTTTATTTTTTATTTTTTATACCATTTAGGGTTATTAATTTTAATTTTAAAGGAGGAGAAATTTATTTTTTTATTTTTTTTATTTTTAAATTTTTTATTATTATTAATTTAGATTAAAAAGCTTTAATTCTTTGAAACTTATGGTTTATTAAAAACTCCTCTGCATGAAACGTAGGAAGTAGAGGGACCGAGGTTGACTGGACTGTTAATGTGGCATCCTCCGTGCCGCCAGTCATGGCCGTGCTAAATTATCGCCGCCGAGAAACTCCGGCAGCGTCTCCAAAAGTCGAAACCGAATTCATCTCAAATTCACTGCGGTTTTCCGAAACCAAATCCATCTCAAATGCAAACTAGAAGTATTCTGTAATGGAGATCTTCGGCGTTGGTAGCGTTTTCTCTTGAATCGGTTTTACTCTGAAACTTCAACGTTAGAACTTTTTAATTTTTGGTTATGGTTCCATTAATTGTTTGGCGCTTTCTTCTTTCTTGCATTGATTGTTCGTCTTTCTTTGCTGCATATATATACTTCCAATGGAACACTTCTCTTCACTCATCCTCTTCTTTTTTCTTGTTTTCAATCCATTTCACTTGGATTGTTCTTGCGAGCGCCAAAACGCCGGTAATGCTTCTGGTTATCTTGTAAGCATTCCTTCTGATCGACTTCTTCCATTCCGGATTTTGTCGGTAACTTGTAGCAATGGCTTTACTAGGCCCTGTGACTCACGCTCAGGTTTGTATTCTAATCACTTCTCAACTATTTCAATTCGTTCGATTATTCTAGTCCTGTGATTCGAAAGAAGTTCACTTCTATTGTGGATTTTCCTATAATTTCGCTCGCCTGCTCCACTATCAGTTCGTTGTTGCTTTATTCAATGGAAACTAGACTGATGTTATTATGGATTATACTGGTTCTTTCACTTGATTGATACAGGTTTCGTTTCTTATCGGATTTTTAACCATTGTCGTTGCTTGGATTTATTCGGAGTACTTAGCATTTAAAAAGAAGTCGATCGCTTCCAAAGTGTAAGTTGATTGATCCTTTTAACGATAAATTTTTGCTGTCTTCTCTCTTTCTCAAGACATGTTCATATTTATGTATTAATCATGATATGAACACACACATATACGAACAACATTAACAAGACAAGGAATACAGTGAAGAGGAAGTAAGAGGAGCCCTGAAATTAGTTTTATCAGGAAGTGTCAATAGAATCTGCACGAAAGCCTTTTGACTTAGTACATATCTATCCTTTCCTACAGTTCCAAATTTGCCTCTACATCTATAATTTCTTGCCAGCAACAATCTTGCAAATCATTTTACGAGCTACATTACTTCTATTAAGAACAACTGCTTGATTATTATTATTTTTTTCCTTTTTGAACCCTCCCTGATTCTTGTTTCCTTGAAACTTTGCATCGATCACTGAGAAGATCTGTTTCTTGTTGAAAAAGTAAACCAGCTTAATCAGTAAAAAGAACAATAATGGTGAATAGAATTGATAGAATATAGTTTGTTAGAAAGTGACAGTATCTGTTGCTTTTAGTCATATATGTGTACTATAGATGTGAGGATATTTTGGTAGAACATTATTCATTTTGTAGCATGTTGTTCCATACTGAAACTGGATTCTTTTTTAGAAGGCAAAGTGATGTTGGGTTTGCTGAGGTAGAAAGTGATGCTGGAAAGGAAGATGATAAAGCTGTTTTATTAGAAGGGGGGGCTATCAAGTCCATTCCTTCTGGAGCTCGAATTCCACCTACCTTCTCTACTGTTATCAGGTTCACAAAAGGAAGCGTTAGTTCCTTCCAATGGCAGCTGCTGATTCTTTAGGTTTACTTATGTTTGTTTGCTTGTGTTTGTTTTGCCTGCTAGGTTCATTACGCTGGAAGAGTCATTCTTGATAGAAAATCGAATGTTACTCCGAGCAGCGTACGTAAACCCCTGCATAGAATTTAAGCTAAATATTTATGTGACATGTCTTGAATGTTGAGTTTTATCTCTTTTTTGTTAATATATTTCTCTCTTTTTTCACTTACAGATCTGAACTTGGTCTTCTTTTAGCATACTTCTACATCTGTGACCGTACTGATACATTTGGATCGGCAACAAAGGTGTCTTGATTTCCGGAGCTCTTTTCTTCCAATTTCTTTTAGTAATCTTTCTAATACATTGTTCATTAGAAAACCATTTAGATATGTTCTTATTGCACTGTACTTCTTCAACATCAATTGTATTTTTATATTAAAAAAAAAGTTCAAATTTTTCTTTCTTTTTTTTTTACTTTTAAGATTGAAAATTGTAATTTTTGTGAACTCCATTTTGTTGATTTACACCAGTTCTCCCCGATCTAATATCTCTCTTACATGGTTAATTTTTGCAGAGTTACAATCGAGATCTTTTCGCCTTCCTCTTGATCCTTCTTATCTTAGTTGCAGCAATTACTTCGTTCAAGATACATCTCGATAAATCACCATTTTCAGTGAAACCTATACTCTTCTTGAATAGGCATCAAACTGAGGAGTGGAAAGGATGGATGCAGGTCAGTCACTCGCGCACATAATTATTAGTGTTCATTTTATTTCTCTGAATGAAAGTGCAGTTTCTTACCATATATACATATATATATATAGAAGCATGATTCCTAATTGCGTTTTTCCTTGCTTTCATCTCAAATCTTGCAAGTCATAATGTGAAATTGCTTATAAAGTTACCCGAGCTAACTTCATAAGCTTCTTTTCTTTTTCTATAGGTGATTTTTTTGATGTACCATTACTTTGCTGCAAGAGAAATTTACAATGTGGGTCGTGTATGTGTTGCTGCATATGTGTGGATGACTGGATTCGGGAATTTTTCATATTACTATGCTCGTAAAGACTTTAGCCTTCCTAGATTTGCTCAGGCATGCTCTTCTATTGATCCTTCAATTTCTTGCTCGTAAGAAAGCAAAGTTACTTGTGATCAAAACTATTATTTCGTTGACTTTTTACATTTTCTGCTGAGCAGATGATGTGGCGGCTTAATTTCTTGGTCTTTATGTGCTGCATTGTCCTTGACAACAGTTACATGCTATACTATATCTGCCCCTTGCACACTTTTTTCTCTCTCGTGGTATATGGTATTGTTGGTGTTTTGCACAAGTACAATGAGATTAGAGCCGTCATTATCGTGAAATTTTTCGTTTGCTTCTTGGTCGTTATCATAGTGTGGGAAATACCTGGAGTGTTTGAAGTGCTTTGGGAACCATTTACCTTCATTCTAGGTAGCTCTTGATCTATTTAACTTTTCAAGGATAAACGATTTTCTCCAACCAACCTAACATTTCAAATTATTATTGCAGGATATAAAGATCCAAATCGACTGAAAGAACAGTTGCCTCCTATGTATGAGTGGCACTTCCGCACAGGACTTGATCGCTATATTTGGATATTAGGCATGTTGTATGCTTACTATTATTCAACTGTAAGTTTAAACGTGCTCGACTTGTACTATCATCACATTTTTTTTTACCTGAAATTTTTTAGTTTGTCTCATGCCATCATAAGGCGTCCTTGATGTTGAGGATTGTTGGGAGGGAGTCCCACGTTGACTAATTTAGGGAATGATCATGAGTTTATAGGTAAGAAATACATCTCCATTGGTACGAGACCTTTTGGGGAAGCCCAAAGCAAAGCCAAGAGCTTATGTTTACAGTGGATAATATCATACCATTGTGAAGAGTCTGTTATTCCCAACACTTGATTGATCCAATTCTATCATTATTGCATTTCCCCTTTAAGAAATTCTTAATAATGGAATGATTTTGACAGATTGAGAAATGGATTGAAAAGCTAGACGAAGCAAAACTGAAGCGCAGGATACTGATCAAAACGACAATTGTTGTGACATCCGCAACGGTAGAATGTTTTTTAATGTGTACCATAGTCATTTCTTGGTTTTTTTCCCCTCTAATTCAAGCCGTTTTGTGACTTTTCAGGCCGCATATCTATGGTTTGAGTACATATTCAAATTGGACAGTCTTACTTACAACCAATACCATCCTTACACTTCTTGGATTCCCATCACGTATGTGAACCTTTTCTTATATGGAGCTTGAAATAGAAAAGCTATAGATGTTAGTTAAGCATTGTTTTGTTCATGTGGAGCAGAGCCTACATATGCATACGAAATGTCAGCCAGAGTACCCGTAGCTATACTTTGACCATTTTCGGGTATATCATTTTGTTTTTTAAACCCATTTACTTCTTTGTTTCATCATATAATTAACTTTTAATTGCTTTAAATCCATCCAGTTGGATAGGAAAGATTTCACTGGACACATACATCTCGCAGTTCCATATTTGGTTAAGGTATGGCCTCCTTTTTCAGCTGGTGTTTTGTTCCATGCATAAAATAGTTGGTGAATAATGTTAATTTAGCTTTAACTATTCCTAGGTTCTCCTCAGCATGAGACACAAAAAGATAAATGGCAAGCTTAAGATCATACAACTAATCATCTAATTGGTGGCACCTTTTCTTGAGCATTAGGGGTTTAACTATAACGGGCCAAGCCCACCACTAGCAAATATTGTTCTCTTTACACTTTCCCTTGTAGGCTCCCACTCAAGGTTATTAAAACGCGTCTATTAGGGAGAGATTTCCACACATTCATAAAGAATGTTTCATTTTCCTCCCTAACGGACGTAGGATCTCACATCAACTTTGGGCAAAGGCACAGCCAAGTTCTGTAACTAGTATTTGAAACCCGAAACTGAATAAAATGACAACCAACCCACTTTGGACCTTTCTTAGTTAGTTTACAAGAACCGTAGTACATTTTTTTTGGATTTATAAATCCAATAAGTTTTGGTGGCAAATGCATTTGTTATTATAGCATAGGTAGAGACAACAATTATTAACCAATCATACACTAAAACATCTCTACAATTTAACCTTATCTTTCAGATCAAATGCTCCGGACGCCCAGCCAAAGCTGTTGCTCATTATCATCCCAGATTATCCTTTACTGAACTTCATGCTTACAACTATCATACTTCTGACGGTAAATATTAGTTATTTACTTTTAACGTCTTGAAGATTTTGACTGTGCTAAATTTTGATCATCCCCCGTTTGCTTGCCTTGCCTTGCCTGCAGACTTCTTACAGGCTCTCTGAGCTGACAAATACGTTTAAAACGGCCTTTGTACCTAGCAAGGACAATAAGCGCATTATGTATAACATGATTGCTGCAGCTGCAATCATGGCCATCTTATACGCCTTGTCATTCGTATTCCTTGAAGTCCCTCCAATGATGGTAAGAGTCCCAAACACTAACAACGTTGATATCGTTACAATCACTTTTGTCGTATTCAAAATCACTTCTGTACATGCTTTTAATAATTCAAAATCAATTTAGTGTTTAGTTTTATGTTTTTAGACACGATTTTCGTATCATAAAAATTGATTTTGAAGGATCGAGCACACGTTCCAAAGTGATTTTAAACCTGATAAAAGTGGTTTTAACCATTTTAAGATCGACGGTTGTCATCGACTTTCTTCCGTTGGAGGATGAAAGTCCTACATCGGCTAATTTAGAAATGATCATGGATTTATAAGTGAGGAATACTAACTCCATTGGTATGAGGACTCCCCAAAGCAAAGCGAGCTTATGCTCAAAGTGGACAATATCATACCATTATAGAGAGTCGTGTTCGTCTAACATCTTCTTCATTCTTTTTGGTATTCAATATGCAGGTTTGAGAATTGAAGATAATAAGAGATTGTACAGAAGGGCACTACAATTTTCTGTGGAAGGACGAAATTTCGTGATGAAAAAGAAGGGAAGAAAAACAAGAAAATTGTGTTATAGGTTAATCCACCGTATTGTTAGTGGGTTATTAAATGAAATAAGCCACTACTTTAGGGCATAGTTTATTCATAATTTGAGGCCACGGTCTTGTATTCCATTGAGTTTGTTCACTTTCAATAAAAATTTGTTACTTTTAAATAGTGAAATAAATAGCAAATCTTCACATTTTTACGTTTTTTTTTTTTTTTTTTTTTTTTTTTTTTTTTT